AAATCTGTGTTCCTCTGCATGCGTGCGTGCGTACACACACACACACACACACACACACACACACAGAGTTTGGAGCAAGTCGCTGCTTAAGTGTGCTCACTTGCAGATCCTCTACTGGAACTCCAGAACGACAAATAGTAAGTCAAAAGACAAAGTGGTTTCAGATCAAATGTACTCTGGAGGCTCACCAAGTCGGTTGAGGCAAAGCAGGAAGGATGCGTGTCCCACTAGAATGACCTTCAACCCACATGGCCCAGGAGCAATAACACCCCATGATGTCAGGAAGTCCACCGCTTCCTTATCTGAGGAACTGAGACGACCTGTTCCCACATTGTGTCCCTTATTCTAAAGAAAAAAGAACCGGGGGAAAACCCCCCCGCTGAAACGGAGCCACATCGGAAGTCCAGCAGGATTTGTGGGAAGGGAGTTGGAGAGATTTATATTCCGTTTTGTTTTATGTTCTTTTTTCTTTTCGTTTTCTGGGAAGTCAAAAAAAAAAAAGCTGAGTTTGAGATTAGCCTGATAAGGCAACTGTGAGGTATTCAGAGTCTTCATCTCAAATTATGATTCCTGTACTTTACAATGTTGAAAAAAATCTTCCTTCGCACTGCCAGAAAGTAGATCTAACAAAATGATGTTAGTCCCGTGTTTTTACAGTTATGCACACACAATATTGAGATTAAGGTTGCATTTGGAAGTCATAGCTTTTTTTTTAATAGATGAAAACAAACTTTCTAAGCTGAAATATTCCTATAAAGTTTACTTCTTTTAATTTTGCATTATCAGCTATTTAAGAGAGCTGTTCCTCTTTTTAGCTGCACAATGTGTTTACAGGCAGAAAAAAAATGAAGACAACTCCTGTTTAGCAGTTGATTGAAAGTCTTAACCCAATCTGTGCAAGCAGGAAGCCTTAGGAAGTGCTTAAGACTTGATTATTATGTTTTTCTCTCAAAAACAGCCATAAGAGCTTTCATTATAATTGCATTATAAAAGCACTGTTGAAATAGTCACCTGTATTAAATATGGGATAAAAATATGTCATGTAAGCACAACTATTTAGGATTCAATACACGGTGTGCCCAGGATACAGGAAGTCTGAGGAGAAACAAATTCCATTTTATTGGCACACAAAGGGATGGAAAATGGCTGAACCTTGTGTACATGCATCTGTGCTTCTCGTAAGTGAAAAAGAGGAACAGGAAGGCTAAAAGACAGACGAAGAGAAACTTAGCTTAGGGATCAAATGACAACAAACAGATCTACCATGGCTACAGGTTGCTTTGAACCTTCTCAGTGCGGAAGTAAACTGTTTTTTTTTTTTCTTCTGAGCTCTCTTTTTTCATTATGTTTCTTTTTGCCCCCCTTTCCACCAGAGATAAGCTTTAACATGCTAAACCCTGTAAAAACAGGCCTAAGTGTTTAAGCTGAGACCATTCTGCAAAGGTATCCTAATTTGTGATGCTGCATCAAGCTGCTGAAGTGTGTGGCACAGGGGGGAGATTCCTAGTTGCATGGCAGATATAGACTGCAAATACATATGGCCTTGTTTTAAAAGATGATGGCCCCAATGGTTGGAGCCCACACTGGAATTACTATTATAATCAAATTTTACTTGTGGCTTTATTTCCATCATTCCAATGTCTCTGTTGTGACCTCCAGCGTAAGCAACCGCTTAAGATAACTTCTTTGCGTATCTGTATTGCCAAGACATATTCCCAAATATTTATGATTTCTTATAAATAAAATAATAAAAATAAACAATTAGTCAAGGTCAGTTCAGAGAATCTTTTCAACACTAATGTTTTTAAAAACATTTTTTTTCATCTTCCTACCAGCAACATGTGTCCTCATTTTTAGATGCTGAACCAAAGGCAGTGATTAAGGGCTGTACAAGTGTCACATCATACAGTAAATGAAGTAGCATGAATATCTTTCTGTACATGTGCATCTTCAATAAAGTACAATCAGTAACTGTTAAAGCCATATGCTGAGACCAGTACTATACTGCAAATTAATAGGCGTGGGTGGAGGGCCCCCTTCTCCCCTGCAGTCTTTCTTCTTTTTCCCCTCCTTTCTCTTTTTTTTTCTGGCCTCCATTTATCACCTCATCCACCTTGCGTGGGTTACCATGGAATGTCTGAAAAGACAATCCCATGTTTTTTTAGAAATGGTGTAGAAGCAGTAAAATAATAAGTTGTTCAGTTGGGCACTAAAGGCGTTTGCTTTCCAGCTTGTGCTGGGTTTGAGGCAACAAGCAGGTTTACCGGGTAAAATGATATTACATGAAAAAAGGTTTGTGGCCAAGATTAGCATCTGAAAACAGAAGAGTTATTATAACAGCAGGGCATATTTTAAAGCAGTCCAAAAACAGAATGATCTTCTTGACATTCTTGAAAAACCTGTGAAAGTTTTCACACATTTGATCTGTTAGACTGCAGGAGAATTTTAAAAACTTTGTTCAACTTTGCATTTTATTGATGTTTCTTAATGTTAAAGAAAACAAGTGCAGTGAAAACTGTATGTTAGATGTTACTTAATGTCAGCTTTCAGTGCTGTAAACCTAACGCCTCTGTTGTGCTGGGGTTGACAGTTTATCTCTTAAATTCCGCACAAATAAAGACACCAGCTTTTTTCTATTTTTCTTTTGGGGATTTGGGTTGACAGAACCTTAAAAAGATCAAATCTGAAGAATAAAGATTTACCTTCCCGTTTTAAATTAGCTTTGCATCCTTTTTTTCTTGACCGGCCACTGTATTTACAGCAGACAAAGACGAGCAGATAAGGCTCATTTAATAATATAGTCAATACTGGTTTGACAAGTCCTTCAAATAGGCATCAGAGCATTGCTTCCGCAAATAATTCCATGTTTAATTAACCGAAGGACACATCACACACAATCATCATTCAGTAGTAAACTGTGACCGTGCGATTGCCTGGTGGCAAGTCCGGTTGTTACAGCTCCTTCCTCAATATAAACAGGAAGCCCCTCCTCTAGGAAGCTATTAACATGTTATGGGATCATGTTCACAATGCACTAACAACACACACAGCGCTTATGCTCACTGTAAAGCAAGTTCTGTGTGCACTTAACGAGATCTAAGTGGAAGTGAAGGGGGAAGCTGGTCATTAAATGTTTGCATGTGAGTCTCCTGCTTCAGTGCACAAAAGATTTTGTGACTGCGTTTGTTGGTTTGTGTGTTTTCACTTATACAGAGACAAAGTAATGACAGTTGCAGGCTGTGAGAGCAAATTTTAGCAAAGTGAAGTCATTTTCATCAGCCCTCTGGTTCATAGTTTAGAGTTACATTCAGTGTTAGGCATCTGTTTAAGACCTAATGCATTTCAAAGGAATCACCACTCAAGAGCCACTTTCTTGCAGTTCAGGAGCTCTTGATCATATTTCACTGTCTTCATTTTCCATTTTTAGTTGTCATGAAACTGAAGATTATGTTAAAGGACTTAAACATTCATCTTCTTGATGAATCACACACTTTTCACAAATGTGTCAGTGAAGGAGATTGGTGAGTGTATAAATAGGGATTTTTACTGGTGAGTGCAAAAGGACATTTGAGAAATTTACAGGTGGATAAGTACTGAGCAAACCTGGAAGATTTTTCATGTAGAAGTAATTTTACTTCAGATTTCATCAGCACCTATGATACAACAGGATTGAACAACAGGATTTTGACCACTGCAACACTTCACTGTGCTTCAGGTAAAGTGGACCTGGGTTTCTCAGCAGCCTGAACCGCGTTATGTAACTGGAAAGGAGAACAAGGAGCAGGAGGATGAACACCAATGAAGCCAAAGAGGAAGCCAAGGATGTGGTGAAGGGAGCAAATGGCAGCCTCTGATAGCTCCCTCTTTGTGTGGCTTTTTTTTTTTTTTTTTTTAAACTGCTTCCTCCCGTCCCAGCCGCATCGCTCACCGCATGGCCTCCGCTGGAACAACATAAACAGCTAGAGACCATAGACTGGGCGAGAGCAAGCCAGAACATTTCAGGCACTGTGGCACATAGAAACAAAATACAGGAAGGGCTTTACCGCATTTATGCATAGTAGCTGAACTGAAAGTAAATTATTTTTCAGATACAAGGTTAAAATTGATTAATTATGAGTATATTAATTCAAAAACTTTCAATAGTAATAATAATAATAATAATGGATTGGATTTATATAGCGCTTTTCAAGGCACCCAAAGCACTTTACAATGCCACTATTCATTCACTCTTACACTCTGGTGGAAGCAAGCTACGGTTGTAGCCACAGCTGCCCTGGGACAGACTGACAGAGGCGAGGCTGCCATATCGCGCCATCGGCCCCTCTGGCCAACACCAGTAGGGTAAAGTGTCTTGCCCAAGGACACAACGACCAAGACAGAGGGCCCAGGGATCGAACCGGCGACCTTCCGGTTACAGATACACTTCCCAACCCCCTGAGCCACGGTCGCCCGGTAAGAAAATACTAATATAAAATCTTACTGGTTACATATAAATTCTTTCTATTTAATATTTGGTAGTACTACAAATGCATGTAGCTGACGAGCCGGAAAGTTCTTAAGTGGCATACTTTTGGAATAGTATGACTGTGTACAGTCTATAGCTGGTAAATATACATTTTAGTAAAGCTGTTAAAGATGTCTTGTGAAATTATACATTAATCCACCAATAGGCCAAATATCCCAGCTTTCCACTAACAATTGAATGCACCATGCATTTGAGGACTTGTTGCGCTAAGACAGTAAAGAATCAGCACAAATGTATCATCCATAGAAACATAAGTGCACCTACATTTCATGATGAAAACAAGGAACAATTAAAAAAAAAAGTATGCATGGGAAGCATTTTTGAAAGTGAAACAATCAGTTTCTTTGACACATTTAAAATGTGCATCTAAACATTTATAGACTTTTATTTGCCTATGGAAAACAGTTTAACACATATCCCAACTGCCGGATATTGGAGTGGAGATTTAACTCAAAATTGAGCACATCATGTTATATTTTGGTCATCTCAGTTTTTATTTTTGACCACTTTGAGGTTCTCTCAGTACAAGGCTGTCTCCTTTTGTCTGGATACAGTAAGTAATAACCAATTAGTGCAACAGGGTGTACTATTGATAAATATTAAATTTATATTACATGTATTTTAGGAAAAATGCACACAGCTTGGGGTTTAAAATGGCATGGCATAGCATTTACAAAACAGATGTTATTCTTGAAGCAGTGAACTGCTAAAACACCTGAAAATGAACAGGTAAACACACACAGGCAGCGGTCATATAGCAGACAAGCACTTTTTTTTTTTTTTTTTAAATACATATATATATAGCTGCAGCTCTTCTGTGCAGCTGGATGTCTTTAAGAGGTACCGAAAGGCATGGAAAAACTATGTTGGTAGTGGTACTACACACGTACAAGCACGCAGTCAGACACAAACTCACTGCAACCACTGATCGAATCCTGATTGACCCATTGACCCACCATGGAGGGCATTTAAATTGACACACACATCCACATCTGGTAGTCTGGGGGTTTAGCAGAACAACACACTTCATGTCTTTGTGCTGCTGTCTGAGACGAGGCAGAGTTGTCCTCAAGTGGAATGAACAGGAGATTCACTCTCTTCACTCTCTGTCCTCCGCCTCGTTCTAGATGCTGGCAGGTCTTTCAGAATCTGAGACTGATGGCTTAGACACTCCTTCAACTTGTCCTCAGTCAGGGTGAGACGCTCTTCCAGCACTGAAACAGTCTGCATGAGGTGAAGCGGTGGGGGTGGGAAAGCATGATAATTACAGAGAAGTCAGAGAATAATTATACATGTAGAAACTAAGCAGAGCAAAGTTCAGTCTGAAATCAATCCTTTCCCAATGTAGAAAAAAACAAAACAAAACAAAAAAAAAAACAAACCCAAAAGTAAATGAGAAATCGTCATGGCTTTCAAATTATCATCATTATTATTATTATTCATTTTGGCCTTGATGCATGAGATAGTCGAGATAGTAGAGAAGGCAGAAGTGATTTAAAATTAAATATTTATATTACAAAGATTATTTGATAGTTCATTAGGTGTCATTTGTTTCTGGGAATCAAAAAATGCACCAATTATTTCTTATAGATGATAATGTCTGTGAAACAAAGTACATACAGCAGCACATTTTTTATTTCTGGAGACAATTTTCTCATAAAACTGCAGAACTGAAAATATGTTCAATTTTTTTCTTCTCTGTCCGCAAATGTCATAAAACGTAAAATGAGGAAATGTCTCTGTTCATCTAATGGTGACACTTCTCAAACAGACAAAGAAGTGGGCAGCTAAATCAAATATTCTCACTCCACCGTTTGCTTTTCTTTACCTTTTATTAGACTTGTGCAAGTGGAAGTTCTCAATGTCTTTTTGCTTCTTCAGTAAGAACAGAACATAGTAAACAACCTGATGCTGTGCTTAAACACTTCAGAGGGAAAAAATTGTCCTCCTTCAATGTTTTTCCACTGCTGTCGATATTGTGAGTTGACACATATAAGCTTTGCCTGATAACTGACCTGCGTGAGAATATCCAGCTGTTGAACAATGTGCCGCAGGGTAGAGCTCACACTCGATGGATGACCAGAGAGAACTTCCAGTGGGTGTGTCTGCGCCATCTCTACTTCTTCCTCTCGTCTTCCTTTTCCTTCTTTTCTGTTAGCCCTCGTTTCATTCTCAGCAGTCGATTCTGCCCTACTTGCACTTCCACCCTCGATCCATCCGTCCAGTCTTGAATTGGCAACATGACATGCTGGCAAACCGTTATAGTGGTGACTGTTAGCAGCAGCAGACTGCATGGGTGTCAAGCGGGGCCAACTGTTTAAGAGCTGGAGATGAAAGCAGGAGAAAACGCAAACTGTGTGGATATTGTTCTGTTCCAAATGCACTGTATCACACGAGAAACCCATATTAAATCAAATCACTCATTGTGACTCTCTGACATTTAATTCAGAACAGACCACTGAAAACAAAGAACTCTTAAAAAATACAAGGTGTTTCCAAGTGCTTGCTTCAGCATCCTGCTGGAAAAGCAAAGGAGTCAGAAAGAACTAGAAAACAGCAGAAGAAACATCTGAATGACGTTAAATGTCAAACTTTTAAACGAATTAAAGTTTCAGTTTGCAGTGAAATGACTGATTAAGTCACTTTTATTTTTAAGTCTGACATGTAAGCTGAAATCTACCTGATAAAAAAAATAAAATAAAAATAGGTTCAGGCTGAAATGAAAGTCTTGAAGAATAAAGGCTGGGCCTCCTGGAACTAATTTCATGTGGGAAATTAATTTTTATCACTCAATCCTCATAGTAAGAATAAAGTTCAACCAGACAAACGTTTGTGGTACAAGGGATGGTTTAACATTAATTATAGTGGGCCTTATCTGAGATGTATCTGCGCACACAAAGAATACTATAAATCATGTCAGAATTACATTCTCTCCCATTATTTGACATCATACACAACGTGCCAAAAGGAGTGCTCTTTCAAGCAAATTAACATTTGTTCTTCGTTAGTCTTGGCAGTCCATGGAGCAGCTTTTGCGCCCCTTATTTTTGTCTTTTCCAAACACTGTTGGTACCTGGCATCTTCTTAATGACGCTGAACTCATGGCAAAAATCGACTGGAATATGAATTGAAGTATTGGATGTTACCAAAGTATCAACTGGAGTTTAATTGTAACTACTTTTTGAACTTAAAGTTGATTATAAACAACTATACTAATAGTTTACCATGTTTGAAATATACATGTATCAAACAGTGACAGAAAGAATACATCAGAGGCTTTCATGATCCTGGATGATATGCAATCATAATACATAACACTATGCAGAGATGGCCAACATGCTTCCTATCTCACTGTTCTGTCAGTGAAGTAGGCCTTGAGCCTGTTGCAACTTGGCAGACTGAAGCAGGTGGATGACTCACACTACTGGATTACTGACTGAAAGGCAGACTTTGTGACCGCCTGACTACCTTGCTAGCTAAAGACAAGTTCATAGGCTGTTTGCACTGAAGAGCTACAGATACAGAGCAAAGCAGAAAAAAAAACTATTTTGTTTTTAATGCGACCTTTGATTTTGTATGTAATGTTTTTTTTTTCCTTTCACAAGAAGAACATAAGGGAAAGTGAACAATGAGAGAGAGGGGGGGAGGGGGTTCATTGTATTCAGTGTAATCAGAGTCAGAGACAGTGCATTCATTACATTCATTCATTACATTAGTCTTTTAACACAGTAGCTATACAGCAGAAAAATATCTATTCTAAAGAACCAATCATTGCTCAAGGACAACTATCCTAACTTTTAGGAGGTCGGGATTCAAACGAGCATGTTTTAGTTTTCAAAATAAAGTGAAATAATTCCACAAACACATTTAATAAACTTTTGCTTAAAAACCACCAAAGCTCCGTAACCTCTTTCCAAACATTACTGTAATTCTGCAGATCACATGCCTTAAGGGGCTAGCACTGACATTTAGTAACATCAAGTGATGGCAGGCAAAATAGCCTGAAGTGAAGTGGGCAGGTCCCTAGTTACAAAATTCAGACGCAAACAACTGAAGCAAATACCAATTAAAATGAAGGATTATGTTAATTTGCCTCGTAACAATGAACCATCAGTGACCTGGGGCAAGCGAATTGTTTCTTGTTTGGATGATTATTCCATTATTTTTCAATAAATCAACTAATTTTAAATAAAATGTCCATACCTCAATCCATATTCTGAATCACTTATCTAGTTCAAGGTCACAGGGGGAATGAAGCCTATCCTACAAGTCATAAAGAAGAGGCTGATGTTACACCGTCAACAAGTTGCCAGTCTAACACAGGGCTTTAAAAAACAAACAAACAAACAACACACACACACACACACACACAAAAAAAAAACCCCAATAGTTAAAGTTAAGTTCACTCCACAACTAAAACTACAGCAGTGGCATCTTAAAACTGTTTGGTCTTGACAACCAACAGCTTTGGCTAAATAAATATATGAACTGATTTGTTGTTGGTCCAAACAATTATTTTGTAGAATGGTTATTGCTTAGCCAATCACATTATAATAAAAGAAAAACAATAATCCAGACAAAATGATGAGAAGTTAAGTTGTACTCAATAATAATGTGATGCATGGGTTGCACCAAAGAGAACAAAAGGAGGGGGACGGGGAAGGCAAGGGGATAAATGAGAGATGTTTTAGGAAGATCAAGACAGGCAGGAAGAGGAGGGTTAAGAGGAGGAGGAGGATGTCACACATTCCTAGCCTAATGCATGGAGCAATCGATTCCGGCTTACTTCCTGCATACTGTCCTCACTTCAAAGAGAGTATGGGGGACGCAGGAGAGGGTGGAGGGAAGAGAGGAAGAATATACCAGGATGTGTAAAGAAAGAGAGGGTGGGTCAGGATCGACTGCTGGGTGGAGGTGAATATAGCTGTCAGTGTGTGGATGGTGAGTCTCGTGGAATCTTGAACACCTTTTCACTCCTCGTTGATACATCTTGTCAACATCTGCTCAGCTCATTTACAGTTAACATCCCTCCACCCCCTCACCCACCAAGCAATTTGGATACAATTAACATATAACAGGCAAGGCACTCCTGTGTCAGTCAACACACACACACACACACACACGCACACGCACACACAGGAAATTGCTTCTAACTATAATTTGTTAGAAGCATGTTAAAATGTGGTGCACGGCATTATCAGGTATATAAAAGATATACAAAATCACAGAAACATGGATTGTTTAATGTAGAGGGGTCAGTGGAGCTAAAAACTCACAGTTTACAATAAGGATAATTTCAGAGATTAAATTGTGTCTATTACGCTTTATGGAATGTCAGAGGTCAGTCATGGCAGGAATGTTGCAACAGTTGTGTTTTTTGTTTGATAGGAGTAGCTGGTTGGGTTTGGTTGGTCGAGCCAAGCAGAGCAGGGGAAAAACTAGACACTATGATAATGAGGTGGCAGACTGTGTGAGCTGAGTGTGCTCAAGTGTCGATAGGAAGGCAAGAATATCAACACAGCTTGTACTCAAAGTACATGTGCTTGTCCAATCTATGAAGTGCTTCCTAATTTGGCCACAGTTTACTCCACAAGTAATGAGATGCAATATAAAAGACACAAATGTGAGTGTCTAATGGCAAACCAGCACTATTAAATGCTAATCATTGATTATTCAACGATATTGTTGATAACTTGACTGCAGCAGATTTACTTAAAAAGGGAAGTTCATTAGAACCACAATGCAGGTTAAAATGCTAACGGCGGCTGTGATGTTTTTGATCAAAAGGATCCCCAGGAGAAAACAGATCACAAATAGCCTCACCTCCGCTTCTAAATCAAATCACAGATGTCTGATCAAAAACATCATTTCCATGAGCACCAGAATTAGCTGCGCTCTCTATTGTTGGCAGGAAACCTCGGGCATTGTGACCCTTGTATAACAAGCCATTTGATCTTAATTGGAGGGCTTCTCTGATGTTCCTGCCCTTACCACTTGTGAAGCCACAAGCGCATCTTCAAAACCTGCCTGGTGTTTATTAATTAACATGGAAAATCCTCCTTATGAAGTAGGTAGGCAAAGGGTTCTCCAAAGCGGCACTGTAATTGTTTTACCAATATTCAATCCACCAGACAGTTTCATAATAGCTGGAAAAGCACTAACTAACCTCTTCGTCATTAAGGCTCACCGCTGCATCGTCATCTGACAGATGCAGGCATTTACACCTGCTGTTAAGGCGCAAGAAGCCGCTGCGTTATTCTCCTAAACGATACGTGTCACCACTCAGATAATATCGCAGCAAACGCACGGATAAGGAGGAGAAGACAAAACCAGAAACCAAGACACTGAAAACATGAGTTTTTTGGAAAGAACTTTGGAAAAAAAAGTTCTTTCCAAAGAACCCTCTGTGTCGGTCTCTAAGATGGTGGTAAAAACTGGCATAATCTTACACTCGTGTCTTCAATCCAGGTATGACAGGGGTTGCCGCAAAAATCCCCCCCCAAAAAACCAAGGAGGCGCACAACTGGCTGACGTGCCACAAAGATTGTGTCTCATGACACATGGATGTGAAAATAGTCAGGCAAGGCCAGCAATGGACAAGCATAAAAACAACGTTGGGATCCCGTTCAAGGCTCCATCCTTCAAATTTGCCAAGCATGACACATTCACTGGCATTAGTGCGCCTAACATCAGTGGCTGAATTTGTTGCACACGGATCAAGTTTTAGAAGAGTTTCAACATCATCTGCATCTCTAAGTAAGTAAGTAAGTAAAAGTTTATTTATATAGCACCTTTCAAGATAAAAATCACAAAGTGCTTCACATAAGCTAAAACCTAAAAATAAAAATCAACCAAAAGCAAGTTTAAAAAGATGAGTTTTTAGCTGTTTTTTAAAAGCGACCACTGAGTCCACAGATCTCAGGCTCAAAGGGAGAGAGTTCCAC